GTAACAGAGAAGAATATAATGTGATTATATTTTAACTTCTAGATCTAGCACAGTATCAATATGTATCCTGTCACATGTAAGTCATCAAGATACTTATGTCCACGGAACTAAAGTAAACCAAAACTGAGATTATAATATAATTACAAAGATGATAACTGTTTAAGTATTATTTATCGATACAAGGTAGATTATGGATAAGATTTGTCGTATTTTAAGTTTAATTTTATATATTTGACAGCATTAGATTTTTGAATTATCTGCTGATTTCTTCGAACCATGTTGTTTTTGCTAGTGCTTTTTTTTTTTCGCTACGTACAGTTGATAAATTTCAAGAGAGATAGTTATACTAAGTTTTCGATTCGAAGCGAAATAGCCTCGTGAACTGATATGAAACGAAGCACTAAGCTAGCAGGTTTCCTCTTGCAGAGGTTGTGTCCAGTTTCTTCTTTCATGACGCAGTTCCGGTACCTTGGTGTTTCAGTTTTATCTCCAAAGTTATGACACCTGTTTAAGTTGCCACTAAGCTGCTGACCTTGTACATCGATATTTATTTATCTCTTATCTGACATCTGTCGAAGTCACCATGTTTTTCACTAATGACCTTTGTTTCTTTCTAGTCATCACAAAAGTAGAAGTAATTTTTGATGTGCTCGTAAAATGTAACTACCGAACTAGCTGTCAACTGTAATGCGTCTGAACTTATTGTCCATAATTCAGTGTGTTTAAACTGACTGTCTATTTTAATGTGTTTGAGCTAACTGTTCATTGTAATGTATCTGTTTAGTTTGCAGAAATACATTTCGAAAAAAATGTATATTTTGCACTGGTGATGTTTTGAAAACCATGTATAGGGACAAATTACGATAGTGTTTCTATTGTAGTGTATCAGTAACTGTTCATTATAACGTTTCTAAGATAATCGTTCATTGTAATGTGCCATAACTAATTGTCTGTAATAAAGCGTTTATTTTATAAAAGCTACAGTCTATAGTTTACTACAAAGTTTTTGTAATTTCACTTGAGCTTTCGAAATTGGTATGTTAACTTCATAACAACAGTTTCAACACAAATTACTCTCACTAAGATACATAACCAATGCCTCCAAAAGTATTATAATCAAAATGGTTTATAATTATTGTGAATTTTTAAAAAATACAACTAGTAATCCTATAATTAGAAATCTATCTTTAGAGTCACTTTAAGTTAGAACAATACAAATGTACGTTCAATAAGAGATCACGTGCTGGTACAGTAGTCCCTCTGTGGTATTCTACACCCTTAAAAATCAATTTATCTAATTGAAAATACACGAGTTACAAACGATAGGTAAGTTATTAGACTTATGCCTTACGTATGTTATTTGTGCTGAAGTAAGCGACCTCTATCGGATAATACGTCAGCATGCAAAAGAAATTTTTTACTTAAATTACAGCACTCCAGTAGCTCAGCAGTAAACCTGTGAACTTATAACGCTATAACTCTGGTTTTAATATCTGTGGTGGGCACTGCACAAATAGCCCGTGGTGTAATTTTGAAGAAATAAACTTAAATTACAAAAGTACGGAAATATAGGATCGGCATTTGCAAAAGACAAAAAGCTACTAAACCTTGGTAGATTGTAAGGTCTGTTTATGGTAAATATATCATTTAAATAATACATTGGCCAATTATGATAATGGGAAATTTTATTAATACATTAATTTGTAAACCTTTCATTATTATTATTCACCTATCCTCACATGTGATCCCAACCAAATAAACAGTTTTCCTTATAGTTATGTAAAATCAAAGCTCTAATATAGGCTACACATGTATCACGTTATATCTTCTTTATTGTTGACAAGGCGTGACACCTGATGGTTAGTAATCTCGGACTATTAATTCGAGATTCATGGTTCGCATTGTGATGTTGAAAAACTCGCACTTCACTTTGAGATCGTGGGTGCGCTATAAGAATGGCGTTCAAAATCATTATTCTGTCAGACAAGAGTAGCCCAAGAATTAGGGCTAACTACTTCTCTTATTGTCTATCATTTCAAAATTAGCAACGGCTATTTGCAGATAGCCAGCCCTTTATGTAGCTATTCGTGAAAATTTTGAAGCAAATCTTTATGTAGCTATTCGCGGAAATTCTTAAACAAACCTTTATGTAAATTCGATGACGAGGAACCCACTTTGGAGACTGCTTGAATAGGTAATGAAAAAAAACTTTAATATAAGTTTAACATAACAGCAAATG